CACAGACACAGGGTCACTGAGGAAGGGGTGTCCCACAGGTACAGGGTCACTGAGGAAGGGGTGTCCCACAGACACAGGGTCACTGAGGAGGGAGGAACAGACAAGAATGAGAAAGGAAACAAAGCTGGGTCCCTCTTAGGTGTCCCAGAGGAGATCCAAAGGGATTTATGTTGGGAAAGCAGGAAGTAAATGAGCTGCTGTGGGTCATGGAGGAAAGGCACAGCTGGATATCTAAAACTCAGAACTTCTGTAATGACTGCCATAGAAATTTAAAATTATGTAATTATACTTTAATTAAAATGTATTAAAAATTAAAAATGATTAAAGAACTGTATATTTTGCACTTAGAGTAAATTTGAGGTATCATTAAATCAAGGTAGTTCCTGGCTCTAAATTTCTTTTTCTTCTATTTTTAAATTTTATTTGTGTGTGTGTGCGCACACGCATGCGCACACGCGTGCACACGCATGCCACGGCTCCTGTGTGGATGTCAGAGGGCAGCTCTGTGGAGTCAGTTCTCTCCTTCCCCCACTGGCGGTTCCGGGATGGGACCCGTCAGGCTCCCGTGGATCACTGAAACCCACGGAGCATCCAGCCGGTCCTGCTCCTGTGTTTCTTATGGTTCAGTTTCTCAGCACTTAGTTTGGAAACTGTGGCCGAGAATAATATTTCAAGAAAAGAGTGCCTGCATTAAAGTAAATATACTTAGTAGGAAGTTTCAAGCCAGGCAGCCTCTTCTGTTGTTATTTAGCTTGTTTCTAGATTTTCCTCTCTCATTGTAGTACATGTAAACTCAGTGGGTGGAGGCTGATTTTACCTAATTGTATCAGGTACTACAAATGCGGACAAGACATCTTTGAAGTTCTCTCTTTTGTTTAATGCAAGCCTGGCCACAAGCTGAGAACAAGTAGGAACAAGAGCACCAGCCAACCAAAGACTAAAATAATAATAATAAAAAGGAGGATGACAGAAATCAAGTTCTGAGTCAGTCCCGGAGGTAGGGAAACTTCATCTCCTGCTTCTCATGTTTCCAGAGGACAGGTAATATATTGATCTTCTGGAGAAAAGAGAGCACCAAGGATTTCCTGTTTCTCTCTGTCCCTCCCTCATTTATCCCTCCTCCAAGCAGGAGTACTCTCTCTCTGAGGGACAGACCAAGGAGACACTGGCCAAGAGCGGCCAGGATTTCCCAGGCTTATTCTTTGGTACTGCCTGCCTTCTGGATGTATGAGCTCTTTTTTCCATAAGTGGGCCCTCTCAGACACAGAGGGCCTTCATCTCTTTAGTGACCTGAGGCTGCAGGTCCGAACTTCATTCTCTAGTCTATCTTTGTAGTACTAGTTATGAAGCTGACATGTTAATCTTTCTGTCTGCTGAAGCCGCTCTATGCAGTGACGAGCCCACATAGATCCACGGCACTTTCTTCGTTCCTGGTTTAACCAGGCAAGGAAACAAAAAGCAGAATGATCAGAAAACACAGATCCAGATGCTGTGTCTCAGTGTCACAGGACAGCAGGGGTACTTAGCTGCTGGTAATCCTTCCACTGAAAATCTTCCTCCATTCTTGGGGCTGGAAGGATGGCTCAGTGGTCAAGAGTGCATACTGCTCTTGCACAGGACCTGAGTTCAGTTCAATTCCCAGTTCCCAGGTTGAATGAAGCCTCCTTAATTCCCACTCAACTCCAGCTCAGTTCCAGGGCATCTGACGGCTCTGACCTCCATGGGAACCTGCACTCACATGCACATACCTGCCCCACCCCACTACACAATACATACACATAGTTAAAAATAATAAAAATTTCATCTATTCCTGCCTTTTAATACTCAAGTTCCTCAAGAGCTCAGTTGCTTTCATTAGATATTCCTAATTAATATTTGAATATATATAAAAAAAGATTTGTTTAAGATTTTAAAAAGATTAACTTTTGACCATTCTAAGCTTCATCGGCATTATATTAATATTTATAATTATAAAAGCACTGACTAATAAAGAACTCACCTTCACAGACTGGCTGTTGGCATTTTTGAGGTCAATGTCACTGTAGGCAATGGTAAGTAAGGGAGTATATATGTTCCCATTTTTTGTGTTGGGTACAAGGCGTATGCTATTAAAAGAAAATATACTCAAAATTATAAATACACTTAACCCTTTAAACATATACTTATCATTTCTTTTGAATTCTGTATAGACTTTCTTTATATTTTAGACTCAGTCAGTCCGTAAGGCTGGAGGAGGCTAACACAAACTAAGTGTTAAGCCCAGCTCATCTTCACTGGTTAAGAACTGTAACAGTAAAGCGTGCTGCAGGAGACTGAAGCCCTGCCGGTGCAGGCTCTGACACTCCAAACGAAACTGCTGAAGCCCTGCGACCGTCTTTAAGGGACAGCGGAAAGAGCTGGGTCACATGACACTCAAGGAATGGCAGACAGAACGTGGATCTTCACATAAGAAAGACAAAGTCTTACTAAAATACATGTTACATCTAGTTTTGTTGTAGGCCCAATTTGGCAAGTACAATGTATTAGTGAACCCAGAAAGAAACATGCCAGCATGGCCTTACCAAGAACAAGTCTACCTAATTAGGTGGATTTCATTTTTATTAGGAATTCCACACTGACAGATTGAGCAGAAGTTAAAATGTAATACATATGGATGTCAGCATGACGTATAAGAACTCTCACAGTGCCCAACTCCTAAGTGAAAAACTACTGTAGTCAGAGCATACGTTATAAAACACTGGAGTGGGGGACTCAATTACAGGCTGCACGGTACTACTCTAAGGTAGGTGTTTCAGAAAGAGGGAGGTGCTGGCTAGCCTGGGTTGGTCTAGAGACGGCCATGAAGGAAATGGGGATGAGGAGGCTGAACTCAGACTCATTTCTCAGCTCTTATTAAAGTACCCATTTCAGCTACTGGTCTTAACCTCCTTTCTCCTTCGGCCCACTGTAATTCACCAGGAGCAGTGACCTAGAGCATGAATCTGGACAAATCCTGAGGTCCTTCTCATATCCCTTTATCCCTTAACCTTTATTGGTCTATGCCAACCTAGACATAGCTAAGAAAACCTTATGTATTATTCCAGCTCAGTTCTCCTTCCTGTTTCAGTCTGATAATTCCTGGCAAAACCTCTCCTTATGGCACTGTCTTCTACAGTGCCAAGTCTCACTTAGTCTTTAGGCATGTTTGTTTACCTCAGTGACATCTGGGTAGCAATTCGAATTACTCGTGGCTGACTTCCTAGGTCATTTTCTCGTCCACTGACTGCATCCACCAAGAAAATGCGCCGAGTGAGAAGCCACTTGCTGGAGCTACTGTCTTTTATTACGAAAAGGAAAAAAATGGCATTGGGAAAACTGCTTTCAAACTGCTTATGACGGCACTCACAATAGTTACTGACAAAATCCTGATTAACACTTAGTATTTTGTTTCAAGTAAGATGGCCACAAAGAGCTATTCCTGTAAGAACTGTCAGTCTTCTCTGCTCCCTGCCTGGGTCATATTTTGTAGCACGGATAATAACAAAAGAAGTTAGCCTGTCCCCAAAGAGGGTCAAGAACAGCAAAGAAGAAGTCAGTTTGCAGTTCTACTCATTTTCCTCAGGCTACTCTCTCAACAAGGGTTGATTCTTAAAGTTCTGAAAATCAAATTAATAAAAGGCCTAAGCACAGCAGCCACCCTACTGCTTTATTGCACCTTGGGGCACACTATATAAAGTCACACACTAAGAGGATCCATCATTATCATCATCCCTGGTTTACCAAAATTATCCCACTGGTTTACATCTATTGAGTTCAGCTCTGAGAAAACAAGAGTAGAAAGTCTTACCTTGGTTCACAAACATCTTATTGTGTTGAAGATTTAGGTTTAACACAGGAACAGCCCAAATGTAACGGTGTTGATCTTCACCAGTATATTCGAGATAAATGTCATAAAATATAGGACTGGGAAAGTCAGCCAGGATTTTAGAAAGAGAAATTTCACACTAGGAAGTAAAATAAAAATAAAAGCATCATGACTCAAAATTAGAAAGTATATTACCATTAGACATTTTTTTTTAATTTTGTGAAGTATCTTTCAATTACATTATTTGCATGCACTTCCAAGAGACTTCTAAAACATGAATTCTTAAAGGCCTTACTCAAAAAAAAAAAAAAGAAAGAAAGAAAAAAATCCAGCCAGTAAAGAACTTCTGTTTTTAATCTATACCATGAGGAGGAGATCAGCTTTTACTTCTAATATAAGTGCATATCAAAGACGAGGTTTAAAAGCTGCTGTTGTCCTCCAGGACCAAGGACAACTCTTTCTCCTGATGTACAACTATGTATCTGACTGGCTCCCTCACGGGGGTGAAGCTCATCTCTCACTGTTCCCTACCAGTCTATGCTCATCTGTTCACACTAATCCATTACAGTCCCTTACCATGTATACGCCAGGCCATTCTATCTTCCCACCATTGCAAATGTGGGTTCTGCATTCATTCCTTTCTTACTGTGCTCCATCCAACTTATGTTATTAGATAACCTGAGCATCACTGACTCTCGAGTCTTTCTCTGTTTCCCTGAGAATTGGTATTGTGTGCATATCTACATATAATACACGGACAGCTCTGCCATTCTCTCTATATACAGGTATTTTGTTAGTGAGCTGTGAACTACTTTTATGAGTGGCAACCAGTTACATTGCAATAATCATTATTTTAAACCTAGCAGAACATTTACATGATGCAACAATTTTAATAATCACCTAATACCATTGGGTCCCATTGAAGCACATATACCAAGTACCTCACATGATGTGTTAGGATTGAATGGGACATCAGTGATAAAATGCATCATCAGGTACGTAATGCCTGCTGATTCCCCTGCTCACTGTAGCTCATGTTGTTAGAAAAGGATGACGGTGAAACACCCTGTAAGTCATTTCTTATCTAAGAACAAATTCATGTTTATGGTAGAAAATTTGGAAAACATAGGAAATGAAACAAAAATCAACTCTGACACACCTGTCCAAAATGGATCAATAAAAATGTTTATCTTCTTCCAATTAGTTGCTCGTGGTGGCATTGTTCACTGTGGTTTTGTTCTATGTGTACGCACACCCAAGAAACATTTTTATATGCTACTGAGGATCTTTCACATGTTAAATGGCTCACAATATTCCTTTGTACCATACTACAACGTCAAAGTGAAAGCAAGTCATAATAGTAAAGAGAAAGGAAGTGTGGAAAGAGAGGGATATATTAAAAGAAAGAGAAGGAAGCACTGTTATTTTATTGGGAGGTAAAGTGAACAGGGAATCATATTTTTAGTAGTCACTAACTTTATTATAAAACTTTCAGGAGTAGCATTATGTTTAAGACACATAAGCCTAGATGCAGATAAATAATTGACTATGAAAATCTAACATTATAGAATATTTAAAACTCTGTAGATGCCAATGTGCCTTTGTCTTGATGATTAACATTCTCTGTGTCCAGATAATACAAGATTTATGAACTAATGAAATTGTTCATTACCACTAAAAGAATTTTTGATTAAAAAAAATATCCACCTACCATTGCAGTTACTGGAGAACAAAGTAAAAACACAGACTGTCTAACAAATACACACATACTCACAGTTTGCTGGTAGGTCGTTCCAAAAGAATAAGCTGCATCTAGTCTTGTTTCTGTGTCTGGACAAAGCTTTAGCAGAAGAATACAACTGATGAGTAGCTCTCTCAAGTGATTTCTTTGCTGAAAAGTTCTCTGGCTCCTATACGAACATGTTTTATTTTCTACTAATTTAATGTGCAAAGGCCATAACAAAAAGTTAAGGGAGGCTGCTGGGTGGTGGTGGTGTACGCCGCTAATCCCAGCACTCAGGAGGCAGAGTCAGGAGGATCTCTATGAGTTCGAGGCTAGCCTGGTTTGTAGAGTGAGTTCCAGGACAGCCAGGGCTACACAGAGAAACCCTGTCTCAATCCCACCCCCCCAAAAAAGTTAAGTGAGCATTTTTTGTTATAAATTAAAATTATAACTAAAAAAACAGTTTTAAGAAATTCCAACTTGGAGCTGGCAAAATGGTTCAGCAGGTAAAGGCACCTGCCACCCAGCTTCTGTCCCTGGGACCAGCATGGAAGAAGGAAGAGAACTGACTCCCACGAGTTGTCCTCTGTCCTCCACACATTACATGTGTGCATGAATACACACACACACACACACACACACACACACACACACACACACACAATGTCATTTTAAAATTCTAATTTCAAGCCTCAGCAACACCCCTCCCCCACACCACACTAGCGCCCCGTCAGTCTCTTCAAGCAATACTCTCGTCTGTTCCTTTTGTCCTTGCTTCAGACAACAGTAAAGTGCATTAGTAATATTTTAGCTAGAATCACACTTACCTGTAAAACACCACCTTCTAAAGTTTGCCATTTGATAAAATTTCCTCTTATATCATAGGAAGCAGCAACAAAGTTCAGCTTTATGTTTTGGTTAAAGAAAAACAACAGTAAAATCATGTCAAATTCTCTATGGAGGGCATTTTTATTACATCTTGTCAATGTTAACACTATATTTGCTGAAAAATTAAATCAACTAAATTTATGTGAACGTAAATTAAGCCACCATCTCTACATCTAAACACGCTGTAAGACAGGACGGGGTTCGGCCGGAGCATTACTTGAGAGCCGAGAAGGGCACTAGCGGCAGGCACCTTCCTCTCAGTCTGTTAATGGGCTGAGTGCCCAGGGAGGTACAGTATCTCATCCTGGAAAGCTCAAACAGGCAGAGGTGGCAATTAGGAGCTGAGGGTGCTATGAAGCGCCGAGAGCCTCGGGCAGTTCTGTGAGCTGTCTTAAAAGGGAGGGCACTGACAGTGAGATGAGCCTGCGCTTGGTGAGGAGGCCTTTCTTCTCAGCCCTCCAAGTGCCACCACATCCACACAATCCAGTCACCAAAAGTAAGAGAGCCCAACGCTACACAATGCAGTTTCTATAGTGGCTAATATTTATACAGCTGAATACATAGTTTTAAAAATAATCTTGGATGTGAAGAAGTGTGACTAGTAACTGTCCCTTTGTCCTGACACTGGGGATTGAAGCCAGGACCTTGTGTATGTCAAATAAGCGCATCACCACTGAGCTGTATCCCAGCCAGTTAGTTACTTCTTATCTTAAAGTTAGTAGATCACATGTAGTTACCCCTCCAGTGATATGTAGACTTTTACCTGGTTTTGTCCTTTAAAACTGAAGTTTGTAGGAAGAGGGGTAGTACCAAGAATTTGAGGTGCCAATCCTGGCTGGTCTCCATAAAACAGCCAAGGAAGGTTCTGTCTCCTATGAACAACGAGACTTGTCTTAATAAAAGGAGGAAATAGCTCATGTGACTAACATTTGTGAAAATAACTGCACTGAGTCCATTTGAGAACATTCCATCAATCCAAACCTCCTTACCAGAAAGGGATAGAATGAGCACTGCTCAATCCGGCGGTACTTTCGAAGATATAATGGAACAGGCGACATGCATCAAATGTGGTAGAGTCGTAAGAGTTCATGTTCATCACACACATATTTCCAAGAGCTTGGCAAGATGTCAGGTTGGCATGAATCTACACAAGGAAGTGGAGCGACATTAGTAGTGTAAACAAATGTTGATAGAAAAATGATATAGACGATTAAGTAGATAATGAACTTTTAAACACTTTTATTTATGTGTCTGTGGACTTTGCCTTCATGTGTGTCTGCACCAGGTGCATGCCTCATGCCAGCAGAGCCGGAAGAGGGCTTCGGTTCCCCTGGGACTGAAGTCACAAAGAGTCGTGAGCCACCGTGTGGGTGCTCAGGACTGAACCTGGCTCCTTTGCAAGAGCAGCCAGGGCTCTGATTGCTAAGCTGTCTTCCCAACCCCAGAAAATAAACTCTTAACACATGAAGATGAATAATAAAAATATTTTAATTAAGAATCTTAGGAAAAATACTAGCATGAGTACCTGAAAGAAATACAAATATAGAGATTGATATTTTTTTCTTAAAAAAAACTATTAAATAGTTATATTTCAAGGAATATTGTGATTTATTCCATTTGAATTTATTCCACTTTGCTTGAGTAATTTGTTTTTATGAACAACAAAATCAAATCATTAGTTGAGTTTAACCTCTCGACTTCCTTTCCCAGTTTTCCCTATTTGGAAAATGCAACTCCACTTTGTTAGTGAAGTAGAAAGCTGGAGGAAGAACTTACCTTCCTGCTGCCCAGCCTGCGCATGCCCACCCACACCCGTGCTCTCTCTGAGATTACCCTAACGGGACTCTAAAGGATCTCCTTGCTGCTGCTGTTGCCCCAACACGTCTATTCTTCGTGCCACAGCAATACTTTCCAATCTGAAGTCAGATTACGGCCTCTGGTGTAGAAATCCTCTAGCTCTGCCCAGAGCCACTCACTACACTCTGGCTCCTCCTCACTTCCCCTGCGCAGGCTGCTCAGCCGCTCCTTCACTTCCAGCTTCTGAAGTGCCAGTGAGATAGAGTCAATTGGTGCCGTGATCTTCATTCCAGTGGCGGTCTCCTCTCAGAACACTCTTCTCCTGTGTATTTACATGGCGTACTAGCACTTCTTTGGGGCTTTGCTCAAATGTCACTCTCTAAGAGACGTAAGCTTTAGCACCCTAGATAGCACAGCATTGGCCAGGCATGCTGGTGCAGATTTCATCTCAGTACTCAGGAGGCAGAGATAGGTGGGTCTCTGTCAGTTTGAGCCAGCCTGGTCTACACAGTGAGTGAGTTTCAGACCAGCCAAGGCTTCATAATGAGAGCCTATCTTAAAAACAACAACAACAACAACAACAAAACAACTTAAAAAAAAAAAACACCAAAAAACAAACAAACAAAAAACTGAAAAGATACACTTTCTTTGTTCCTTATTCTGATTTATTGCCTTCATACACTATTAACGACCTGGCATTTATTTAGACCAAATGTAAAGAGGAATGATAAGTACATGTTGAGCACTTACTGAGGGAGTTTTTCAGTTTTCTGAATGTTAAAGCTGAGAAAGGCCTGGCACATACCATGTCACCCCTCGATACTTACTAAGTGACATTCAGTGCCTCCAGACAGTAAATTACAGCTGTGCTGGTCTGAATGAAGATCACCCCCTAGACTCATATGTTTGAGTACTTGGGCCCACTTGGTGGAACTGCTTGGGAAGGGTTAGGGGGTGTGGCACTGGGGTGCCCCTGCCATTCCCAGTGTTCTCTCTGCTCCTGCTGTGGATTAGGATGTGAGTCTCGGCTGTCCCTGCCACCATGCCTGCTCTGCCGTCAGGAACTCTAACCTTCTGAACTCTAGGTCCAATCAAATGCTTTCTTTTAGAAGTTGCCTTGGTCCTGGTGTTTTGTGACAGCAACTGAACAGTCACTAAGACGACCATCAAATGACCCTGGAGACAATCAGTATGTGTAAACTGTGTAATAGCTTATATACTCTATTTCAACCAATAGAAAGGCTTTATTCTTTTTATAGAATCTGACTAAAGAGATGTATCCACTGAGAAAACCTTTATCTAAGTAAAAAAAAATAATATTTATCAATGTGAAATTGATTTTGAAAATATTTAAACTTACCCAACATGCAGCTGCTGCTGCCTGCAAATACTTGGCAAACCACTCTGAGTTTAATGACATGCCCTATAAACAGAAAGATGAAGATAGGTTTAAATTCAAAGGAAGATTCCTTAATCCTATGTGTTAGGAAGGCATTAATACATATATTAACTGAGAAATGAACAATGATGGTTTCTTGTTATTAGAAAAACAATCTACTGGAATTTAAAAAAATGCTGATGAGTGTCTTCTACTACAATTAGAGCTGTGTGACAAAACAATGACACGTGACACAGGATGAGGTGACAGAATATGTCTACACTCCCAAATTACAAAAAGTGAAGTGGAAAAAGAAAAATAAGAGTGCCTGATTGAGTATGAATGGTTTGTATTTGCTGATTTAGGGTTATGGTAAGTGTATCAAATTGATGAGCGCTGAATTAGGAGAACCACTGCTACATGATGGGAAAGTTGGGCTCTACAGAGTAATATCTGACATTTCCAAAATGGTGCTTTGTAAACAACGAAGGACATCAGAATAACCCCACACCAAAAGGTACCTGATTTAACCAAAGGCAACCAGAACCACCAGGAGACCAGGACAGGCATGCATGGTTTTTGTTTTGTTATGTTTTATTGAGACAGGTTTCACAGAACCCAGATTGGTCTCAAACTCACTACATAGCCAACTGTGACCTTGAACTCCTGATCCTCCTGGCTCCACTTTTAAGTGGCATCACAGCCATCAAATACATTTAAAATACAATTACGAGGCACTGTTTTCATCTCTTTAATAAGCAAAGTTTTCTTTTTTAGGAAAAAGAATAAATGCATGGAGTGAGGTTGAAGAAAACACATACATGCAGTTATACTCACACACATATTCACACATGCACAGTTATACTCACACATATTCACACATGCACAGTTATACACACATTCACACATGCACAGTTATACACACACATATTCACACATGCACAGTTATACTCACACACATTCACACATGCACAGTTATACACACACATATTCACACATGGTCAGATATACTCACACACATATTCACACATGCACAGTTATACTCACACACACATATTCACACATGCACAGTTATACTCACACATATTCACACATGCACAGTTATACACACACATATTCACACATGGACAGTTATACTCACACACACATATTCACACATGCACAGTTATACTCACACACACATATTCACACATGCACAGTTATACTCACACACACATATTCA